TATATATATCCTGTTAGTTTTAGCTTCTCAATGTGGATCCTGTCATGTTGGCCCTAAATGTCCTGCTATGCTATGTTTTAAGAACAACCTGTTCTTAAAGAACGTCCCTAACCACAGGTCTATTTCAATAAACATTTCAAATTTAAAACAACGTGTAGAAACAGTCCAAGAACTACAGCAATTATTTCAGAAATGACAGCTCCCTTTCCCTTTCCACTACTACCAATATCACATGCCCATTTCCATGCAGATACACTTATTCAATGTGTTTCTCAATTTAGGTTTAACAAGCAGCCCTTTTAAAAAGTTGTCTTTAGCAAGAACCCCTTCCCCTCCCAAAGTAATACATTAACATCCCCTCCATTTTTCTCAGCATTCTAAACTCTCTGGAAGGCCTCATTTAAATAGTCTAATTGTAAAGAATATTTTATTTAGTCACCTTATGAGTAAGCCACCTAGCTAGGGAAAATGGCCTGAGAGATTGGGTAATAAGCCATATAAATAAGAATTAAAATACAAATAGTGAACTACAGACAGTGAACCAAGAATCAACTTCCTCAGGCAACATAGAATATAACCCCTCCCTACTAAGCTCCTGAGTTTGCAGGAACTTAAAGTAGAAAAACAACCAGTTTTGTCTAAAAATGCAGATTTCTATAAACTTACATGTTAAGCAAAAGGATTTAAGAGACTGAGCTCCAAATGGTCATTTTAAATACAGAGTTACCTGTGCTAGGTGGCCATTAAATAATTGAGCAATTACTGTGCTGATTATCTATACTTACCTCTGGATCCAGCAAGCACATGGCCACCTACTCAGGTTGCTTCCAAGGAATCAGGGAGCTATTCCTATTTCCAATAAAAATTCTCCAAACATCTTCTTTTCGGTTCATGACCTTTCTTAGGATTCTCATATCACTTATCAGCACGTATTGTGACTTTGGCAATATGGGGAAATATTTGAAATTTAGGAATTCGCTGTGAATATCAAAAGGCAGAGGTCTGAGGAGATGCGTTATGGGTATGAGACCCTGCATTGCAGACATTTATAAATGTCAGCTCCTCCTGGTCTGCTACTAAAAGGAATGAGACTAGGAACTCAGCACATCAGAGCTGCACCCAGCTCCAACCCATACCTGAATGAGGGTCTCCGCAACCCGCCCCCCTCCAGACTGGTGTAGCTGAGGCTGTGCCTGAGGTCACAATTAGACGGCACTGTGGGCTAGGAGTGTCACAATGGGGACAGAATGCAGGGAACCCGGAACTAACCATGACCCAGCTCAAGCAAAAAGGGACAACAGCAACAAAAGACCACAACTTCGTAGTCTGCAGCTAAGCAGAGAGGCGGTGGTTCCCCGTACCCGATTCTGGCCACTTTCTTTTAGACCTTATCCCGATTCCATCCCATCCCCGGTTTCTGTCCTACAACGTCACCATTGCGTGGCTTCAGGGCCTCCCAGGGTCTTTCCCATGCAGTAGAAGTCCCAGGAGGTGGTCCAGCAAGGTGGAATTCCGGCTCTCAGCAAAACATTCCGGACACCCACTTTAGCGTCATAACCCCGGAAGAACCCTCCTACATTGCCCCATCTGATTGGACAGTTCGTACAGCCCGCCTCTTTATCGCTGATTGGCTCCTGCTCCATTGCCCTCCCTCTGAGCCAAGAAGGGAGAGATAAACTGCTTGCTTGAATAGAGCTCAGGTGATAGATTGTAACCCAGGAACTTCTGAATCAGGCTCTTTCCCACCATGTCAGCCTCACCCCGCCTAACAGTAACTGTATTTATGCATTTATTTCTGGCTTTCCAGAGCTGCCCCTGTTTTCTTAATGAACTCATTGTGCTCTTCCTGAAAGTGTGCTTAGAAGGTTCTTTTGTCAGTGTCCTGTGGAAGAATCAACCCTCTGATATAAGGCAACATTGTGAGTGCAGGCCAGGACAGGACAAAATGGAATGGACACAGAGTTGGTTGTTTGACAGGTCTATATCTGGGAATGACTCAGCAGGCATCACAGTGAAGATTTTCACTCTATCTCAGTCTCTTCATTTTCAGCTAAGACAAAGAATATATGTTCCCCCAAGGAACACAATTCCTTTTATTGTGTAAATGAAGAAATTAGAGTTAAAATGATAGAAATATTCTGCAAAAGGGTAAAGATGAAAGAAAAGCAAATATTCTAACTCCTTTAGACAAGCTTCATATTTCATGCCGGGTTGACCACCTTTAATTTTTGAGATCCTACAAAGCAAATAAAAAAGTTAAATGACACAATGAGATATCTTTTCCGTGCTGATAAAATTATTTTTATCTTTATCAGTCCCGCCCCCCCTTTTGAGGAGCTACCGTCCAAGAACCATAGACAAAAACTGCATACATGAGAGAAAAAGAGTATTTAAGAGACGGTTCAGGAGGTCATCAAAGGCAAGGCATAGAATCTGCACAATTAAAAAAAAAAAAGACTCTGCACAATTTCATGGCAAGTTTCAACCTCAGAGTCAGCGCAGTGCAGTGCAGCCCAAATGCAATTCCATTCCCCTCTTTCCGTTTTTTTCCCCCCAAAAGTGGACATGGATTTCAACATGGCCAAGACTCTTCATTTTCTTATACCTGACTGCTTTCAAACCTAATCCATTAAGGAGTGTTATATTCTTGAAATAGTATACCTTCGCCTTCTCATTGTTTTACATTTACCCAGCACTTTGGTCTTTTGTGTAGTTTTGTACTCATCGAGCTTGTCCTCCGTCCAAATCAACCACATCCATGAGATTTTCTGGGATATTTTTCACTTCTGCATGTTTATGGCTTGGTTTTAAATATGTACGCTGAATATCAAAATTATTCCTCTACAAACAGTGTTAAAGTTTCAATGTCCTATAATCATACACACAGAAAGGGGGTACTTCCAACACGCAGGACCTTGTCTGCACATTAGATTCCGAAATTATCATAAGGACCTTTTGAGGTACATTCTGACTGGCCCTAGGTTTCTCGCTGAAGCAGCTGAAGGTGGAGACATTGAATAATGTCCCAAGTCCTCATACCGAGTGGTAGACTGAAATGTATATTTGTCTCCATATAGGGTATTTAATCTTTACAGTGGGCTGTCTGCTTCACATAGATTTAATTCTTTAATATATTGTCCCTCCCTAAATGATTTCTGTGCACTCAACTTCAACTTGCTATCAATTCCACTCCCAAGGTGGTTGCTTTCTTACACATCCTGGATGGGAATAATTGCTTTCTCATTCAGCTCAGCATTATGGGTTCTCTGTCTATTTTCCATTCCTATGTCAGAATTTCACATGTAGCAAAATTGAAACAAAGAAAATCTACTGTTTACAAATTTTGAGGCTGGAAAGTACAACAACAAGGCACAAAATCTAGTAAAACCATTTATGCTGCATGACACATCATCATTATTATTATTAGCACAGGGGATCAAACTCAAGACCTTGTGCTTGTGAGTCAGGAGCCACTGAGCTATGTCCCCCACCCCATGACACATTACTGAATGCCAAGTAACAAGTTAATACTGTTTAAGAAGTCTACTTCACTTATATGTCCCCCACTTTTGTATTAATAACATCATTCCATTCATTAAAGCAAAATACTCATGTGTCTTTCACCTTATAATGATCCCTTATCTCAACTCTATCACAAGATATTCAGTTCCAAAATAATGAAGTTTAGAGGGTATATTGAATCTTACACTGGATTACTGATATGAAATATGACTTGAGCCAGGAGGAAATCTACAGAACATGGATGCCTACACTTACCCCTGAATCTCTGTGCCCCTAGACACAGAAACCTCAACGCCAGTCTCCACTGCTATATTGTAGGTGACCAAAGTTGGATCCAGTCTTTTGTATCACATATATTGATTTCTTTCTTTCAACTATAAATGTGTGAATCACGCATCAGTACACAAATGTCTGCATATACATTTGCACCCGTTTAAGAGTACACCCCACTGGAAAAAGAGACCTTGCCCTACTTATCTCTAACCACAGGGCACTTAGCACCCTCCCACGTGCACATTTGAGGTGCTCCTATGGTACCTGAGTGAACAGAGGTCAATTCTGCATCCTGGGGAGGCTAAAGCCTGAGGGAGCAGTAGCCCAAGTCCTGATGTGTTACCTGCCTGGCAAGTTTGTTTGGGGACTGCATTTGTGTTTGGCTGTCTGCTCCCTGTCCAGATTTCTATGTTTGTTCATATATATTTCCTACTCTGAAAGAGTATGGTAAAGGAAGTTTTCCATTCTCACTTGTCGACCTTCACTTTCAGTTGAATTACTAGGAGAATAGTATTTTTTGAGTGATGTCAGTGTGGACAGGCAAAGTTTCATAGAATGCAGTGTGGTACTTAGAATATTCAGCATTGTATCCTCGAGCACGCATGCTGTACTTTTTAGTTGACTCAAAAGTAGTTTTTGTTTGATGAAATGTAAGGTTACCAAGTGCTTAGGGAATACCTCGTGATAGTAGTACTAAACAATATGAACATTTTGGGATTTGAAAAATTACCTGCTATTGAATATGGAGCTATCAAACACCCAATACAACTTTTAGAAAAAAAATAGTTGCTGTTTTATTTTTACAAAAATATTTGCATTGCATTTTAATATTCTAAAAGATCCTATGGTCTTCTGAGGTAAAAGTTGTTGGTTCCCAATATAGTTTCATATTGCAGAATGGGCAATTAACCTTCATCTGTAATAATTCAGCTGCATTCCAGAATGAGTTCTCAATTTGTTGTTTTAAAAGTTTTTCCTAAAATTTTTCCATAGTTGTTACCTTATTTCTGCACCAGCACTTATACTTTCCCTCACTATTTCTGTTTCCTGAAATATAAATTTGGCGATATCGGAAACCCGTACCTAGGTGTAGGAAACTGACACCTGGAGGCATAAAGGACATTTGTCCTGTTCTATTTTCTGGCCTTTTGCTGGAGTATTTAATCTTGCATGCCAAGCATATTTACAGAGATATAGGCTTTTATATTTAAAATATTTTATTTAATGATCAATTATACATTATTATTTCTAAAATGCTAATTTTGATTGCTTTTAGCTAGGTACTTCTATGGCTGGAGCGTTCAGAATTTTTGGGGGTAAATTGATTTCAGAGTTAAGTATATTTTGTTGTTATATATCAAAGATATGGGGATCATTTAGGTTTTGCTGTTTAGCAACCAGTATTTTCTTTTTTTTTTTAACTAGTGTGTGTCTTCATGGCAAAACTCACTGACCCCTTTTCTCCATCCTAAAGTCGTCAGACAACTATGAAAAACATCACACTGCCCTCTGTCTTGCTGATGTTGCTTTTATGCTCTCCTGGTAATTTGCTCAGTTTGTACTTTTCACACAGGTAAGATGATTTTCAATTTAATCAATTTGCATGCAATATGTAGTTGGTTATATCTACAGAAGTTTTAATCTATGATTACATTTATACTCAAAGATTTTCAAATATGATATAATCATAAAGATTATACAAGTGTGTGATTTAAAAATAGAATTCCACATTCTTCAGCGTATTGGTCACTGATAAATATTAATGATCAACAAGTAAACGGGGGGTGTTTTCTGTTATTTCATTCACTAATTTTCCTATTGGAGGGCAGGATAGTATCTGTATATTTTCTGTTGTGGGTGCCCAGCTAAACCACTGCTAAGGCCAGTCCTGTTCTTCGTGGTCAGGGGTTTCTGTTCTGGTCCAGCTAAATGTTGTCCATTTTGTCTGAAGAGCAGAACCTTACCTGGAGCCACAGCTCAGAGCTGTAGTCAGATATTGCTTACATAAATTGAGGTCCTATCTGGCTTCCCCAAACAAGTGAGCAGCTAATGGCAGTAAGATGCATGAAAGTCAGGAAGCAGAGAGCAAAAGTGCAATTTTTTTTCTTTTATTGAGTTTATTGGTACAGTCTAGGTATACAGTACAGTTACATTCATTAGTGGGATCTTGTACCTTTACATTACAGGTCTTGGTTCTCATTTTTCCCCCTTGTCCCTGCCCTCCATTCACCCCCTCCCCATTTACAAACACTTTTTTTCCATTTTTTAATTTTCTCATATTTTTTTCTTTTCCCTTATTCCCTTTCCCCTACCCTTCCCACTTTCCCTACACCCTTAGCCCTTTTTTTCCTATTTCACATTGTTAATTATCTCATTAGGATCTTGTGTACTACTATAGTTTTTCACACCAGAGAAACTATTCGGTATTTACACATGTGTGACTTATTTATTTCAGTTAGGAGTATATCCTCAAAATTTATCCATTTTCCTATGAATGACCCTAATTTCCCATTCTTTATGGTTGAGTAGTATTCCATTTTATAGAAAAACCACATTTTCTTTATCCAGTATCCAACTGATGGGCAAATGGGCCATTTCCAAGTTTTAGCTATTACAAACTGCCGCTATAAACATAGGTGCGCATATGTCACAGTGATATGATTCTTTTAATTCTTTTGGAAAGATACCCAGCAGAGGGATGGCTGGGTCAAATGAAACCTCTAGTCCCAGCTCTTTGAGGTATTTCCATAGTGATTGCACCAGTCTGCACTCCCACCAACAAT